TAAGAGTTATTTGAATAATATCCAATTTGTTTATAAGAATAATATATATCTTTAAATATATTAATAAGAATCCAATTTGGATTTAGAGGTTTATTAATTCCCTTAGATTTTCTATCTCCTTTTTCAAACCTTTAGGGTTTGTTTTTCTTCTTTTTATTCTTTTTAGAATTATCCAGAATATTTCCAGATCTAGGTTAATAAATAATATTAGATTTCAAATTATCTTTTATTTGAGTTGTTATAATAATATATTTTTTATATTAATAAGGACCATCTTTATTTCTATAATCTTATAGCAAATATTAATATACAATCCTTTGAAAAACTTATCAATCTAATAGGATTCTGTGAATTTTTCTAATTTGGCTTTATATTGAGCTGGCAAATTTATATATTCTATTATAGTCTTGATTCCTTATATAACTCGAAACTATTTTATGGATATATCCCAATATCTAGTTACAGGTAATTGAATCGGATTATAGAAGAATTCCCTAAAATAGTTTCAAATGGAATTAATAAAGATCATTTTTGTATTAATCCATTGTTTTATAAAGAAGTTCTAGAAATAAGTAAATATTCAATATATATCTTATAGATATCCTTTCTATAGATTATTAATATATTATTAAAAGTATTTTTGTTATTTTCGAATAAAGATCCAGTATTCTCCAAAGATTCTTATGTATATATTCGGAATATTAGGATATTGATTAGTTTCAAGTTTTTGTTTATAAGTCTTATCCTTTAATTCTCGAGTTTTCTATTTGTTCTTTGAATCTTTATCGGTTTTTTCTCGGAAAGCCTCCGGGAATATAATAGTTAATCCTTCATTTAATTATCTTTGAAGTATATTATTCTATTATTTGATAGTTTTCTTTCGAAAGAGAGTATATATCGCTTTTTACTTCCTCTAATAGTTTTTATTCTTTTTTTTACGATTTCTACTGATTCCAAAGGAACTTGAGATAACTCCGAAGTTATATTCTTTTGATAAAATGTAGCTAATTCTCTTGAATATATTAGAATATTTTCGGGGCTGGTTATCTCAAAGCGATTGATAGGGTATATATCCTTTTCAGAAATATCTTCCTCGAAACCATTTGTTAATATATATATACTATTAGAATATGGTAGGGTTTCTATTAGTTCCTAAGTAGATATTAAGTTTCCTGGAATATAAAAAGATATTGCCTAATTGCTATCCACTATACTAATTGCTTCCTTTTAATAATAAAAGATAGAATGATTTTAGCTTGTGAAGGATTACAAATAAGAAATAGATCAGATAATATCAATATTATAATTAAGATATAGTTTATATAAAACCGAACTTATACTATTACTATAATAATATAAAAATAGCTTTTTATAGATTTTAGTATAAACTAACTAATAAAGAATAAAGGATATAAAAGAATACTCTATATTCTTTTATATCTATACTTTTCTGACTAGTCCCCGAAAGGGGATTAGTCTCTACGCGGTGATACGAACTCTATAATTTCATATATTCAGATTTGTTTTATATTCATTTATTATTGATTAATACTAAGTTATATTTAAATCTAATCAATAAGTGAAATAAATCATTAATAAGTGAAATATCACCTGATCCCGGCGGGATTGGCTGAACTTATTGATATGATAATAGGCCTAAATTATAATAAAATCGAAGGATAAGTGAAGGATGACTAAGCCGCGGGATCCTGTCTCGTGATCTTGGATCCCGCAACCCGTGTATAAGTGAACTTGGCTATTAAAGATTGGATTGGATGGCAGCTGCACGGCCCACTATAAATAGCTCTTAATAAAAACAACTCCACCACAACCAAAGCCGAGAGACAAAATGTATGCATACACCCGAAAATAAGGATAAAACCCTTCCCATTGACTTTGAAAGTGACAAAATAACAATGCTCGCATATTAGCAAGTCCCGGTTTCGATCCGGGGACCTCCGGGTTATGAGCCCGGCGCGCTTCCACTGCGCCAACTTGCTTGTTGCTGTGTTGCTTGTTTGATGTGAGGAGGTGTGGCTCTTAATATATATAGCTATTTTATCTCGGACCCACAGCCATTAGACATCCGACAATCCGCCGAGCACTTTACTCAGTATCTGTGAATTACATTTTAAACTTATTAGAACTTGTTACCTATTTTCGAAGAGACATTTAGACACCAAGCTGTCACAGTGGTATCTTTTTTCATATCTATTGCCCAATATCATCGATAATGTTCTATGTTGCCAAGAGCATATTACCCTTTGGTTGGTATATATCATGCTCATAAGGTTAGAACTTAGCCAAGTGTGACCATACAAACCGGCCAGTGATTCTCTACCTACAAGAGGTAAGACATACAATGGGACAACCATAACCATGCAGCATCTACACTACCGATATTAGATCATCTTTCCATATCTGCGCAATAATGGCATTACCAGCACTAACCATTCGAAATCTCTCCACAACTCCACTTGAGTTGAAACTATTGGAACAATTCGAATCTGCTGAAAAGAGAGCTGGCGGGGTAAATATCACCAGGATAACCAAAAGTCTCACTGGGTTTATGAACCTCACCAGCACTCCAACCTCACCACAACTAGCAGAAAAGGCAGAAAGTTTCAGTCATCAAGATGTTTCCATACCAATTGGTCCGTTCGAAACCAGAGTTACAGATATAGAAGCAAAAGAAAACCAAGTCCTACGGTTGACCTTCGAGACAAATGGCGAGCGATATCGAATTGATACCCCAACCCCTCTACATCGATCAACCGTTCTCACACCTCTCTCGCACAATCCCACTTTCGAATTCACAGGTTTATATCTACCTAAATACTCCTTCCTCGCAATATTCTCGTCAGCGAAACTATCATCATGGATGTCCGATCTCAAAGACGAGACCCCTTTGGCAGCTCTCAGTTTACCCGGTACTCATAATTCTCCAGCCTATCACGCGGCATTACCTTCCGTACGCTGCCAAGCTGTCAGTGTAGAAGATCAACTCAACAATGGAATTCGTTTTCTTGATATACGGGTCCAACCACAAGATCCAAAAAATCCCGCTGCAGAGGGTCTAATTCTCGTCCATAGCGCTTTTCCAGTTTCTCTCACGGGCAATAAATATTTCCGAGACTTGGTCAACCGTGTGAATACATTTCTGGATGCGAATCCTACGGAGACAGTCATAATATCATTAAAGAGAGAAGGTGTAGGAAAGGCTACGGATCAACAACTTAGTCAAATCCTCAACCATCATTATACTCAGGATTCTGCTCGTTGGTTCACAGGTAATCGCATTCCAGCTCTAGGGGAAGTCCGTGGGAAGATTGTCGTTATACGCCGGTTCGGCTTAGATGACTCCTTGAAAGGGGAGAACGACGGAACAGGTCTATATATCGATGCGGAGAGTTGGCCAGACAATTGTGCAGATGGTGTGTGCACCAGTGGAGAGATTCGAGTGCAGGACTTCTACGAGGTTGCAGAGTCGACGAATATCGAAAAGAAGATTGAGTTTTCCACAGATCAACTCGAAAGAGCCGCGAAAGCTGTGGCTGTACTTCCCGAAGATATGGGCGCTGCAAGTACAGAGTCGGCAAAGCAGCCATTTTTCATGAATTTCTTGAGTGCTTCGAACTTTTGGAGAGCGAACTGTTGGCCGGACAAGGTTGCAGAAAAGGTTAATCCAGTGATCGTTGATTTTCTGTGCAGAAGGCATAACGAATCAATGTCGGCTGAACATCCGGATGGTGCAAGTATAGGAGATGGGAGTACGGGGATTGTGGTTTGTGATTGGGTTGGAGTAGGTGGGGATTGGGACTTGGTGAGGTGTATTTTGGCAATGAATGCAAAGTTGGAGCTCAGAGAGAAAGATCTTCATTAAGACACCCCTTCATGAATGGGGCATATACCAGAAGGTTATGATTTCAAGACTTACGATACATATGATACATATAAGATTCAATTTACAGATATAATACATTCCGTTAGATGCTTATTCATTATTGGAGTTCGGTTTACTCCTTGGGAGTTTCTTCAGCTGGACTCTTTTCTTCAGCTGGACCCTTTTCCTCATCTTCTAACATCTGTCTTCTGCCCTCAACGGTAAAGTATAAACTCTTTGCAGCACTCTCCAAAGTATTGGTAATTCCACCACCAATACCTTCTAGCATGGCTACCAATTGGCCTCGTAAACCATCCAGACCCCCCTCGATACTTCCAACCCACCTCGTGCCCTCAACATCAAACACTTTACCCTCTACTCTCGCTCCTAGTAACAATAACTTCTGTAATCCGCTCTGAACAGTAGGATCATGCCACCCTGGGTTCGCCTTCTTTCTGGGAGCAGGAAATAACGGAGCATTAGGTGCCAAGATTGTTAAAGCCGTCTTCATATGCTGAGGCGAAACACCGGGGAATGTCAAAAGCACAACTGGACCGGCCAATAACGGCGATAGGTCATGAGCATTTTTTATTTTTTTACTCGAAATAGCTTGATGAGCCGCGCTCGAAAGTGTATGTGTCAATGCATCGTCCCCTGCATTCACAATCGATAAAGTGGCCGAAGAAGGAGTTGCTGGATCCGTAGGGTTTGGTTTATAGAATTCGACGATCCGGAGGGCGGTAGCTAGGATTCCAGTCTGTACGATTTCGAGCTTAATACCCTCTGCGAGTTTTAGGGGCCCGTGGCCTTCTGCCTCAAGGGCTGCGTCGACTTTTCGGAGGGCAATGGTAAGTTCGCGACGGATGGCGACCCATTCCATAGCCTTGAGGTTGTTATGTTGGAAGAGGAGTATGAGGGGGGTAGAGCGGAGAAGGGAGGCATATTTTCTGAGGAGTTGGGATTTGCGGAACTCGGGAGGCTTATAGGATGGTGGTTGAGTGGAGGGAAAGCGGGATACGGGAAGTGATCCTTTTATCATCTGATTGTGCGAGGCAGCTGGTGTGACTGCTGCTGCCGCGGTGGCATATTGTCGATTTTGGAGGGGGGTCCTTTTACATCGGAGGATGGAGGCTATTGCCTTGGAGGGCGTATGTATTCGTGGAGGCATTCTGTGAATGTCAATTAGTATTTATGATCAAGAACAACATTCCTTTAACACAATTGGCTGTACTCACCTGTGAAATGAACTTGTTGAACAAGTCTATGCGGGCATATAATTTCGATGGACGAGCTTGAGAAATTCTAAAGAGGACTAGCGCCTTTTCTTTTCAAAATAAATGCCTCGAATTTGAGGCTGACTTGAAACTTCATTGAGGGTGACTCAAAACCCAGGTACCATACTGGAACCCGAGTATATTACATGAGGTACAAAGAATTTTGAAGAAGTTTCTTTAGGAAAAATACAACTTCTTCTAGACCGTCAGTTTAGATTTCAAGAACCTTCAAAAAAAGCAATCATGGCTGCTCCAACGGAGCACAATGCATACGCACCTTCTGCTCAGGCCATTTCAATCACACCCCTACTCAAACGATTATGGCCTTCACCTGGGGATAATAAGGTTACAGCATCGGAAATTGCCTTAGCAATCTCACACATTTTCACGGATTCATTGTCTCCGGTTCAAACGGGTGCATTACTCACGTGTTTGCATTTCACGGGATGGGATCGAAAAGCAGATGTTCTTGCAAAATGCGCGAAAGCAATGAGAGAAGCTGCGTCGCCTGTTGATAAAGAAGTCTTAGACAAAGTTGTCGCGGCTATTGGAAGACCAGAAGGCAATTACGAGGGAGGCTTGGTAGGTTGTCATGAGCAATTCTTTTGAAATTGTTTTCTGATCTATCTCTAGTGCGATATCGTGGGAACTGGAGGAGATGCACATCACACTTTCAATATTTCGACCACATCCTCCATTCTGGCTTCATCCCTCTTACTTCTGAGTAAGCACGGAAACAGGGCTTCTACGTCTAAATCAGGATCAGCAGATCTTCTCAACTCTACTTTACCTACGGCACCAAACTTATCGGCAGTGACACCTGACACTATCACCAAAGTTTACCAAAAGAGCAATTATGCTTTCCTATTCGCACCAGTCTTTCATCCTGGCATGAAATATGTGGCCCCCATTCGAAAGGAGCTCGGTTGGAGAACAATTTTCAACCTCATGGGCCCTCTTGCCAATCCAGTCGAATGCAGCATTGAAGCCCGACTCTTGGGAGTTGCTCGACGAGATATAGGGCCCGTCTTTGCAGATGCCCTCAAATTGGGCGGCGCCAAGAAAGCCATGGTTGTTTGTGGAGAAGAAGACCTCGATGAAATCAGCTGTGCGGGACGGACATTTTGCTGGCGATTGATAGATCGTTCCACAGATGACTCCTCGTCTTCTAACGATGTCGAAATCGAGAGCTTCACACTTTGTGCTGCTGACTTTGGACTTCCATCACATGACCTAAAGGATGTTTCACCAGGGAAGGAACCTCATGAGAATGCCGCAATCTTGATGAACCTACTCCAGAACAAATTACCAGAAAATGACCCAATCTTAGAATTTGTTCTCATGAACACTGCGGCATTGTTTGTTGTCTCTGGAATATGCGATGCGGATACCAGTGATATGGGACATGAAGATGATGGGAAAGTCATCACCGAGAGAGGACCTGGTGGGGGTAGATGGAAAGAAGGTGTAAGAAGAGCTAGATGGGCTGTCAAGAGTGGCGAAGCTTACAGACAATGGAGACAATTTGTCGAGGTCAGCAACAGTTTCTAGGTCTGAAAAATCAAATCTGAAAAATCATCTTGGACAAGATCAACTTTATGACATAGTCTGGGGGACTACTCTACGGTCATTCCATGTAAGCCTTTTTATTATATAATACAAGGAATCGGTCATTTTTGGCAAGCATACTAGGTACTCATGTCACCAGAAAGTCGGCAAATCGGGTAGCTAGCATATACTCTAAATTGGTAAAAATATAAATATGAAGCCAAAACAGCCTCTCTTGTAGCTTATTCTGAAGATCACTCCTTCCTTTGCGCTAAGCCCCCTCCCCCTCCCCCTAGCCCCCTTATGGACCCCCTCCCTTCCCTCATCGAGAATTCCATATACCTTGTATACTAACTACAACCTCGTCATTGCACCGTCATTATCACGAACCTTTAATGGATCTTTCCTGTTAGCTTTTCTTGTATATCTCATACTATTCAATAAAAAGATTCTCAATATATTAATTCGATACACCTTTTAGAACTCATGATTCCTTGTAAATAAGGAATAGACTACTCGGAGTAATAAGATAAGAGAGTCAATCGTTTGTATAAGCGAATAAGGATTAGCGACGACGAGGATGCGATGATGAGGTTATAGTGTTTGAATGGAGTTCATAATGAGTGAAGGGAAGGGAGAAAGAACTTGGGGGAGGTGGCACAGAGGTATGTAGGTAATCTTCGGAATAGGTCAATACACCACCGTATGTACAATCTATGAATCTCGATCGTTTCGGAACTGTAATAGTGGATCTACCCGTATAAATTGGTAATTGGTTCTTTCCCCATTTTGGTATGACAATCAGGCTCTGACGGCAACTGGCACTCGATTGTATTGTTCCGATGAATTACCATGATTAGAACTTCTACTAACATATCCTAGTCAAGCAAGCAATCCCTTATTGATTGGGGGAAAATATACCTTCTTATGGAAAAGGGTAACTTCATTATTGCTGTTTTTGGTAATGAAATTGTTGTGATTTACTTTGTTGGTTCTCCAGTTTCCCAGTTTCTCTCCCACCCTACCTCCACCCCACCTCCACCCCCACCAAAAGTTTCCTGCCAATAACAAGTCCGAAATCGCACTCATTACCAAGCTCAAGCTTCCTTATAAATACTTCGTCCTCTTGACACCTTTTCACCTTTTGCTTCAATTCAAACATCTTATTACTCTCAAAGTCTAGTATCATACATAATAAGATAAATTCATATGAGATATCTTCTTCCGTATATCCAACAATCTAGAAATCTTATCGGTACCAATCTACGTCCAATTCTATCAACACCGAGGGATTCTTATCTACCCCACTACAAAATACCTCATAACTTCCACCCCTCCAACCTTTTTGATCCTACTCAAGTATCTTCAATCGTCACAATGAGTAAACCACAGATTCTTTTGTTAGGCGAGATCGACCAGTAAGTCATACTGAAGCTCCTCCTATTAACAAGTTGGTCGCTCATTGAGATAACTTCTATAGTGCCAAAGCAGAATGGAGCGAGCTTTCCAAAATTGGTGAAATCATCGAACCCAAAGCACGATCTCGTCAAGAATTCTTAGAGGAGTGTAAAAATGGTGTTTACGATAAAGTGGTGGCTGCATACAGAACTTTCATGAGTGTGGCTATTACAGGCTTGATTGACGAGGAGTTGATCAGTGTGCTACCAAAGAGCTTGAAGTTTATTGCTCACAATGGTACGAGATTGGAATGTGAAGTCAAGGAAGAATCGTGAAGCTAATTCATGGTCTTAGGAGCTGGATATGATCAGATCGATGTAAATGCTTGTACTGCGCGCGATATCCGAGTTTCGAATGTTCCAACTGCGGTGGATGATGCTACGGCCGATACCAACATGTTTCTCATTTTGGGAGCATTGAGAGGGTTCAATACATGTTCGTTCAAAGTCCCCTAACACACAAGGTCGTTTTCTAATAAGTCATAGCAATGATGGCTCTACGAAATGGGCACTGGAAAGGATCTCCAGCACCACCTCTTGGACACGATCCTCAAGGAAAGGTCCTTGGTATCTTGGGAATGGGTGGCATTGGACGAAACCTCATGAAGAAGGCATCTGCTTTTGGTATGACCTGTCAATATCACAACCGTTCGAAGCTTTCGGAAGAATTGAGCGGAGGTGCCAAATATGTTAGCTTCGATGAATTACTGGCTACAAGTGATGTTCTATCCTTGAATTTGCCTTTGAACGTGAGTTTTCAACGCAACCTCAACTCGAAGATTGCTCGTCTAATGGCATGATAGAAAAATACCCGCCACATCATTTCCACGGAGGAGTTCAAGAAGATGAAGAAGGGTGTTGTTATCACCAACACAGCCAGAGGAGCAGTCATGAACGAAGATGCTCTAGTAGAAGCCCTCAAATCTGGTCAAGTCTGGTCAGCAGGTCTTGATGTCTTCGAAGAGGAGCCAAAGGTTCATGCTGGATTAATTGACAACCCGCATGTCATGCTGATACCACACATGGGAACTGTAAGTTACCCAAATTCACCCCTCATATTGTGTTAAGGCGTTGCACAGAGACTAATGTATATATCATAGTGGACTATCGAAACTCAGACGAAGATGGAGGTCTGGTGTATCGATAACGTTCGAAGTGCGATTGAGAAAGGAAAGTTGATAAGTCCAGTGGGAGAACAAAAGGATATGTAGACTGGCGTCAACGAGGTTATTTAGCATTTGGGCGTCGATACCATTAAAGTCTTTCTTCGCGAGGTGTAAGGGTGTAATGGTTACATGTATTGGGCCAGGCCGCGTTACAAGTGATACCATCAGACTTCTTAGATTGATACCATTGCTTTTTATAGAGAGATCAATACTACATACAGCTCTATCATACCAATTTTCTCCATGGTTCCTGTCACAGATTCGCTTATGACCCCAACTCACCCTCACAAGCGAAAAGTGTATGTACAGTACTGTATTCTTCATCAGACAAGTCACAATATTCATTCACTTAACCATCATCCACAGCCCCAAGGACCAAGAGTAAGAAATCACAACCTCCCTCTTTCCCTTCAGCACCCCCCAAAGTATGCCAGAAACAAAAAATAACAACAACAACAACAACAACAGAAGAATGGTGAAAAAAGCAGTTATAGTTTAGATATCAAGAGTGCAGGAGGAAGAAGAAGAAGAAGAAGAAGAAGAAGTGACTTCATAGATGCAATTTTAGTCAGCACGACGATATTGTTATTTTTAGTGTTATTATCATTATCCAATTCTTTGAGCTTCGAAGAACTTTACTTGGGAGGGTGATGATAGTTTGCACGCTTGATTAGTATATGGTTTACTAGGATCTGGTCACTGTAGGATAGTATGGGAGTTTGTGGGTTCACACAAACGCGCTTCTTCGGAACATGGTCTTTTTCCATATCGATCAAAGAAGGAAGACATACGGTTTATCCTTCTCGGCATTTTTACATATTACTATTTCTCAATAATCACCTGGGATGGATGGGTTTGTGCGCGAGTCGTACAATACCGTCATGGAAATGCTATTTCTCTCGCATAGATGAAGTGAATGACCCCGTTCGTTACATATGATATAGGGATAAAATAATTTCAATATGCTATACAATCTTGTTCCTTCTTGACTATATTGAAGCTTTGAGTTATGAATTTACAAAGTCTGGATATCTCACCATCTACAGCTTGAATAAGAGAACAGACTCGACAGAGTGGTTGAGTTGAGATAGACTATCTTGTGGTATGATACTCAGCAATCCTTCCTTGATACTATATACCGTGACCAGACATTTGAGAACATCATCAAACCCGAAACAATATATTTCATTTGGATTGTGGGATTTGCTTACATGTTATCTTGATTCTAGTAGCATAGAGAGGGCATGTAGTGCTTTGTACTCAGACACTTCGACGTCGAATACCTAAGAGTAAAGTATCCCTCGATCGCACTATCCAAGATATAGTCCCTCCCTACAGGTCAGAATATGGACATCCTTGAATTACAAACATCATTGCGTTCAGCTCCAGTATCTCTACCAGGGTATCCATTGAGAGTAACGATGTAGTGCACACTCTCTTCTCGTCTCCCCTGGAAGATTATCGGCTGACTACTTTGCGTAGTAACATATCTCTCATCAATTATTGTGAGGGTTCTTTTTACCATCTTTGCGAAGTACTCAACGATTCCTCACTCTTCCATTGGCGCTTATTCAAAATGGTGAGCGAATACTCGATACGAAATCGAAATTCCACGTACTAGACGAGGTCGCTTGGTTCGAAATGGGCTTGATAGCTCTACCTGAGTTTGACTTCAGATATGATTTTATTGGATAAAACCTGCAGCTATCGGTTTGGTGGATTGAAGAAATAGTGAAAACATGGGATCCGCTATTTTACACGGTGATTGTGACTCTATAACTACTTTCATCTCCCTGAATGTGTCAAGTTCCTGGAAGCATGACCTTCTCAGTAATACCAACTTCTACGTTATCAAGATCTAGTGTATTATACAAATCTTACATATATTTATCTATATTCCTGAAGTCAAATTTATATATCTCACTCCACCACATTTTTATTACAACATGGCTACAAATCTTACAAACGAAGTCCCTCAAGCAGAACTAGAATCACCTACTATTCTCGGTGATCCATCTACTGCCAAACCACGAACTGAGTGCTCGAATATCACAACTCACTCTTCAACCAATCGACCCACCCGTCGCGTTAAGTCAACTACCCTACTTTCGGGCCACCCTTTCACACCAAAAACAGTGATTTTGATTTTATAACTTTTATTCATTTGATATAATTGAATGAAATTTAATTATAGATTCTTTATATAGTTATCAGATCAGGTACAGATTTTCAGAATTTGAGTGAT